CAGAGTGGAGTGATGTAGGCCGGGCCCCTGCTGGCCTCCCGGCAGCCCTGCCTTGGTGCCTGCTGTGGGCACCTGGGGCCTCTCACCCAGCAGTGGCCGCCCCCCTCTTCTATTTGACAGGCGTCGCCCTTCCTAGCTGGTCCGCAGGTGGAGCATGAAGCCCCTAAGGGCAGTGGGGTGTCCAGTGCTGACGTGGCCATGTGTCTGCCACACTGAGGGCCAGAGGCCCAGGGAAAGGGCGCCCTGAGTGGGAGTTTGAGCTCACTAGTCCACAGGTCTCATGGGTGGGCAGGCGGAGGAAGGGAGGGATGGTAGGACCACCCTGCTTATGGAGAACCTCTCTCCGCCCTGGGGCCTCTTGGCTTACCCAGGGGGCAGGGCTGGGCAGAGGCACCCTGCTCTACAGAGTACTGCACCTTGTCTGCTGGTGGGGAGGTTGGCCTGGCCTTGGGGAGCCCCTGCCTCTGACAGCCCCAGGTGGATAGAAGAAGGCTACAGGCAGAGGCCATGTCTTGTTTGGGAGCCCGTCTGGGGCAGGAGCAGCCCTGTCCTTGCCCTGCATTGGCCCTGAGTCCTGGTCATTGGACCACCGCCTGGAGCTGTGTCCAGGCCCTCCCTCCTGGGGTCCAGTGGCGTCCTTGTGGCCGGCTCTCCCCTTCCTGGGCCTACGGGCTTTGTCCTGGGGTCGGGGCTGCATTGCTGGGGTGTTCCCTGGCACCCCTACTTCCTCTGGTGCCCTGTAAACAGGATCTGGGCAGTTCAAGGCTCTCTGCAGGCTGCTGGGTGGGGGTTGGCCAGGAGAGAGCCTGGCGCCATCCTGGAAGCTGGCAGCCCTTGTGGCCCACGGAAGCTGCTCAGCCGGAGGCCTTCTTGGGAGTGGGCATTGTTCTGGCGGCCTGTGTCCCGCAGCTTCGAGGCAGCCGGGGCCATTCCCAGGGACCAGAGGATCCACACACCCTCCTGCCTGGCCCTGCGCCTCTACCCACCCCCTGGCCTGCCAGTGGTCCCCACAGCCTTAGCTTGGCCACTCCCTCCCTCGTCCTCATCTGGCCCCACTGTGGCCTGCTGTTACCCGCTCCCTGCCCTTGCCAGTTGAGAAATGTTTGTGGCTGGGGGACAGGGGCAGCGGGGATACAGCCTGGGGGTTTGGGGTGGGCACAGCTGAGTGCCCGAGGCCCTTGTCTCCCAGAGGTGGGGGAGGGACCTGCTGGGTTCCGGGTCCCCAGGGGCTTGGGTCCTTGAGCACCTAGTGGGCAGAGGATGTGCACCAGCGTGGACCTGTGTCCTGGGCTGGGGCCCCTCTTTGTGGCTCTGGCAGTGGGGTGGCCTTCCCCTCCCTCCCTCTCCCAGCCTGTCACTTCCTCCAGTTGGCCTCGGGTCTGTCCTTGGTGCTGCTGCCCCTCCGCTCTCAGAGCTGCCCGCCCCTCTCTCTTAGACCACAGCTGGCACCTCCTTCCTGCTGCTGCTCAGATCCGCTCGAGCTCCCTCCTCTGGGGAGCAGCCAGACCCCCAGCCTGTGGTGCTGGCTGATCCTGTAAGGGCTTTGCAAGCTCCTGGTTGGGGCCCTTGTCACAGGATATTCCGGCTGATTCCCAATGAATGTTCATGTCCCCAAAGCCAGGGCCAGGCCTGCCTCGTCCACGTTGGACAAAGTGCCTGGCACACAGTGGATGTGTGTGGTGTATCTGGGGTTGGGCTGAGCTCTCCTGGGTTCCCGTGCCTGCCTGGGTTCTGCATGGCCACCTAGGACAATGCTGGTAATTTTCTGGGGCTGCCTCTGGGGACTTGAAGAGAGCGTTGGGTCCTACCTGGACCATCTCCTCAAGGCAGACACCACACTCACAGCCTCCACCCTTCCTGGACTGATCTTTCCAGGTGATGATTCCACTAGAATTTTACAAATTAAGCTTTAAAAATTTAAGATTATACATGCACAAGGTTTAGAGAATAAATGAGTTTTATGTGGTTAGTTAAGAAAAAGCAGTTATCCCCAGGCCCCCTTTCTTCCTCTCCACAATGACAGCGGCTTCTGGTCCTTGGGTCCTTACCTCTAAGAGGCATGCCCGAGTCACTGCTCCTTCGTTTCCCTCAACATTTGCACGTTACTATTTGACTCCTGAGATGACGAGTGATGTCTTTCCACGTGTGGGCTTGCTCTCACACGTGCAAACACGTGCAAACACACACACCCACTGTCAGGCACATAATTGTAGATGAGTATGCACCTATACACACATGTGTACACGCCCACATGCATGCCTCGCATGTTGCTCGTGCACACACATACACATACCTGTACATGTGTATACACAGCTTACATGTGTGTATACACATTGCATATGCTCACACACATGCATGCGCATGCCTCCCATGCGTGCATGTGCATACACTAACGCCTTGCACATCACACATGCGCATACACATACATGCCTCTACATGTGTACGCATGCAAAGGACACCTTGCACATCACAGATGCACACATTGGCATGTGCCCTCCACTCTGGGCACAGTTGTTTGTTGTGTCATGCTTGCAGGTAGACAAGGCACCTTTTCAGTGCAGCCTCATGTGCTCCAGAGAGCTGGGACTTGTGAACTACGGGTCAGGCCCATGCGGGCCATGTGTGTCCTGCGCATGGTTCAGATGTGTTCATTTGGGGATTTATCTTGTGTTTTAGCTGGTTTCTTTCCCTTGGATTCCTCTCGTCTGGATTCCTTTACTTGGACTTGGGGCTCTGGGCTGGTCCCGTTTCCTCTGTCTTTGGCTCTACATTCTACTCTTTCCTCGTGCTTTTCTACGAGTTCTCCATTTCTGTTCCTGTGGCTTCATTTCTCGGCTCTCCCCTGTGTTCTCTGGAAGTCCCTTTTTGTAGCACTCTGTTCTGGTTTCAGAACAACACGTCCCATCCTGGGGATGGCAACGAGGGCGTGTTGTATGGAGCCTCCTTGGAGGCCCGGTGCAGTGCAGCTCAGACGTGAGTGCACCTGCTCGTCTGGACCCTTGTCCTGCTGCCGTTGGCTGCATGGCCAGGGGCACATTCCCCCCGACCTGTGCCCAGGGTCCTCGTCTGCAGGGTGAGACTGTCTTCACCACCTGCAGTCTGTGAGCATTAGCTGCTCTCCTTATGACCACGTTTTCATCTCTGGTGGTGCTGTTTCCTCCACGCTGTGCCCCCGTGTGCCTCGGGCTCCACCTGCCACCTCAGCCATCTTCAGCTGTGGCCTGAGCCTGTCAGGTGCTGGGGAGTGGGTGAGCACGCTGCTCCCAGCCGAGACCTGCACTCCTCCAGTGCAGCGTGCACCCTGCCGGCCTCCCCTCTCCCTGCCGACTGGGCGTCTCCTCTCAGGAAGCATCAGGAAAGTGAAGGGAGGTCCAGTGGCGACTTGGGCAGACACGTGGGATTGAGGCCTGAGGGACCCGCGGAAAGGCAAACCGTTTTGACTTCATCAGGGATTGTCGAGAGTATGCACCGAGAAGCCCTGGCGCCCCCAAGTCCCTCTCAGGGGTACCCGAGGTCCTCTGTTGGCCAGCTCTTGCTGTATGGGGCTGGATTCCTTCATACGCTTCAGGTGAACTGCTGAGACCGCTTGTGCCGGCGGCAGGCATGGGAGCCCAGCGTTCCTGAGTGTAACACTCTGCTGCTGTTGGGGAAGATGTTATTTTTCATGAAGATATGCTGTTCACATTAATAGGTAATTGTCTGCTTTGGTTATTTAAACATGAGTTAAATCTATTTTTAAAACTTCATTTTACTTTGTGGTGTGGTAAATAGTGATAAAGTCCCCCTAAACCAGAGCTCCTTACGGTCTTGGATACTCCCTAGCCATGGAAGGGTCCTGAGACAGGGATGTTGGGGCCCACGGCGTGGGCCCCACGGTCTTGCTCTTGCAGGCACACAGGGTCCCAGGAAGCCCACACCGGCTTAGCGACTTGGGCCTGCCTCTCTGCCTCCGTGGCGCTCCCATGGCCCTCTTGCTAAGGATTTTGTGCCGGGGAGTTGAGGGGAGGCGTGAGGTGTGGAGAACTCAGCCTGGGCTGGCCTGTGTGCCCCATGTGCCGTGCGGACGCTGTGAGGATGTGTCAGACCAGACAGAGGCCCTGACAAGCCTCTGTGCACACAGGCCCAGGTGTCCCCGCAGAGGCGTGCCAGCAGACACACCCAGATGCCGGAGACACTGTAGGTCACGGGCAGTGTTCAGGTTGGAGACACCCCACTATATCCTGGAGCCACAGTTCACAGGAGGGGCAGACTGGGTGGTCACGATGCGCGCCCCCCCGCCGCCCCCCCGGGGATGTGCGGATGCCACAGGCCATCTGTTCTGAGTGCCTGCTGTTTGCCCCCCTGCTCTGAGTGTATCTGCTTCCTTTTGGCAACAGGCTAGGAGGGACTTCTCTTCCTTGCCCTCATTTTATAGATGAGGTGACTGAGGCCCAGAGAAGCTGGTGGCCCAGCCCTGCCGCCCAGGTAGCAGTGGTCAAGGCAGGCTCAGTGTCAGGCAGCCTGCCTCCAGCCCTCCTCCGTCCTGTGTGGCTTGTGGGGACCGAGCTGGGGGCTGAGACTGCACACATGGCATAAGCCCCAGGGGTTCTCTGCCGGGCACGTTGCTCGGCTCCTTTGGTGGGTGGGTGCTGACCCCCACGGGGGCCCAACCGTCTCAGAAGCCAGGAGGGGGGTGGGCTTGCTCAGGGGGAGAGCAAGGGGAGCTGGGGCTCCGGTTGGCACTGCCATGGTCTTGAGAGGGTTGCTGTGGGGCACAGTTGTTCCTAATGTCCCCACACTCGGACTCTGGGGAAGAGGATGCTCGGAAGGGGCTCAGTGGGGCTGCCGCCCAGGGCTGGGAGGAGCCGGCTGGTCTGGGATCCAGGCTTGAGTTTGCCCGGAGTGAGGACCCAGCGGAGCCAGGCTGGCTGGTGGGCTGGGTGCACAGGGTCCCGTGCGCCCCCGAGTCTGCGTGCCAGCCCTTCTCTCCCTCTTCTGCCCTGGTTTTGTGTTTCCTCCAGCTCCGTGGGAAGGTGACCTTCCAAGAAGATGTCCTATGGATCCGTTGCTGGCAGCAGTGGCTTGGGGAGCCATGGCCCTTTTGGGGGACCCTCCAGACAAGGCTGTCAGCCGTAGGTAATGAGTGTGTGGCAGTGTGGGCTGGGGAGGTGGGGGGTGGCAGGGGGCAGGTCTCTGCTGTGTCGTGTTGGTGGCAGGCTCTGTGCCTTTGACCAACACTGCCTGTGACCAGGGCTGTGGGTGTTGGGCTGAGTCGGCACCAGGAGAGGGTGCCTGCCGGGAGCAGACCTGCACGTCTGCTGCCACCCCACACTGAGCTGGTGTGCTGCAGGTGCCCCGAGTGGGGCTGGGGGTGGTCAGGTGCTGGGTGAACGGCCCAGCAGGCACGTAGTCTGGTCTGGCCTTCCTAATGAGTGTTGAGCAGGTGTTACTTCTTGTAGTGTACAGAGGCCAAAACAGGTCCAGGGCGATGCCTGACTCCCCAGGGCCACGCAGCTGCTACAGGGCAGAGCGACACCCCCTCCAGATTTTTCTGAGTGCAGAGCCCCCCTGCCCTGTCCACTGAGCTGCATAAGCCCTCAGGCTGGCCCCACGCCCAACCATGAGGGCCCTCCGTGGCCTCTGAGTGTGCTGTCTGCTGGCCTTGCCTGTCTCTGCTCCCCACCTCTGATCCCAGCACCTGGATCAGGACAGCCTCCATGAGCAGCTGTCTGGGAGGGGGAAGGGGATGGGATTTGGGGTCCCTGAGCCTCTGCTCCTCTTCTTGGTGTGCTCCTGGCCTACACAGAGAAGCACCTTACTGCGCACGCCGGGCTGGGCTGTGTGCAGTAGAGCCGACAGTTGCATTCCACTGTCTGCTTGCTTTGTCAGCCTTGCTCCTGAGGCCCTGATGTGGCGCAAAGCTGTCCCTTTCCTTGGTCCTGGCGGTGGCGTTCAGTTTTGTGCCTCGCCTGTGTCGGGTGCTGGGCGTTGATTGCTGGTGGCGTGCCAACCATGCTTCTGCAGGCGCACGCCCTCTGTGCCCGGCCTGGCCAGCTCCACACCCCACAGGGGCCGCCTCCAAGCGTGTGGGGTGGTGTCCTCTGGTTCTAATGCGGTCGCCCTGCTCACCGATGGGCCCCATCGACTTGTGTTCACCCTGTGCTTGGCCTCTCCCGGGGTCAACTCTGTTCACTTTTCTCCTAGGGTTGTCCTGTTCTCACTGTTTCCTCGCGTGCTTTGGGACTGAATCTGGTCGGATGTGCTGTGAGGTCTCCTTGCCCTTCGGGCGCCTGCTGACGAACAGAAGCTCCTCCGTGATACGCTTGTCATTATGACTCATGGTTTGCACTTTTCTGTTTAGTGTGGTAAATTCTGTCCCAAGATGGTAACGATGCTGTCTTTACTTTCCTCCAAAGCTTGTAGGATTTGTTTTTATGGCTAAGCCTTTCCCTCGCTGGAGCTGAGTCTTGTTTACGGTGCGGGGTGGGGTGGGGAGGGGGCACTGTGCTGCCTTCCTCTCTGTTTGAGTAACAGGTTGTCTGCGGATTCCTCTCCTATGACCGGCAGCTTGGGCTCCCTGGGAGAGGTTTCCATATAGGTCCCCTGAGTCAATTTTTCTATTTCTGGGCAAAATCCCATCTTAATTTCCGTAGCAGTTACTGTAATTTTTGATGTTTTTGAGGGCAAGTTGCTCTACTTGTTTTTCTTCAGAAATGTCCTAGGTATTTTTGGCCCTTTGTTGTGGGTCACAAGTTTTAGAACCCCTGGTCATACTTGGAGTTTTGGTGGGCAGTGCTTGGTAGCCACTGTATTAACGTGGTGAGAGCTGGCATCTTCCTCATTCTCAGCCACCTAGTCCACTCATATGTGTGTCCTATTTACTCGTCTTTTAAAATAGCTTTCAATAAACTTTTATAATTTGCTCCATAAAGATCTTCCGTATCTTTTATTGAATTTGCTTTAGCAAAATAAAAACATTTTTTGCTGCCATCCTAAATGGTACTGTTCTGAATGTTACATGTTCCCAGCCTTTGCTGCGGCCGTTTGTACACGCAGTTGGCTTTCTTAAGAAGCAAAGTCTAGAGATTTTAATTTTTCAATGTCTCCTCTTCCTGAATATGAAAAATGTCAGACACAGACAAGTAGATCCATTCTGGTGATGAGTGCACTGCACGCCTGCTTGTGCTCAGCTTCCCCTGGCAGTGGAGGCTGGTGGAGCCTCGTAGTGCCATTGGGACCCCCATAGCCCCGGGTCATTCTGCACTAAATCCCAGGCAGGTGCACATGTTGTCTGTTAATATTCCAGCGTGTGTCTTAAAAAAGCGAGTACATGTGTGATGCTCATCATACTTTCTGCATGACAAGAGTTCCCCTGGAACACACAGGGTGGCCATGGCACCCTGCCCATCAGCGGCCCGTGTGTCCCGGTGCCTCGCATGGCAGCCCACTGATGCCCTCTCATCTTTTCTCACCTCCAGGGTCTCCTCCACCTTTTCCATTTTGTCCCTTCAAGTTCATTTCCTGAAGAATTGCTTTTCCTGTCCGGTGTCACTGGCTTGGTTCACTGCCTTTATGTCCGCCCATTTTGTTAAACTCTTACTACTTGTAATTGCTTGTCTGCAGAACCTGAAGTTAGCTTTCTGTTTAGACGGTACCATTGGTATCATTTGGAATTAGTGGTTTTTTCCTCTTTTCCAATGCTCTCACCCTCCCCTTCCCTTCCCTGCTCTCCTGAGCTGACCAGAGCCTCTGCACAGTTTGGGCGGAAACGGTGCCTGTGTTGTGTGTGAGTTTTTGGAGGCCTAGGGCTTGTGTTCCTAAATGTGTTCAGGATTTTGCTGACGAGTTCTCTGGGCCTGGGGTTTTCCTGGAGAGAGTGTTTTGTGACTACTGGTTAATTTCTCCAGTTGCAAAAACTATCCATGCTCTCTATTTCTTCTTGGGTTAGTTTTGTTAAATTGTATTTTCCTGGATATGTATCTGCTTCATCTAAATGTTCCAATTTATTGAAATGAAATCACACAGAGTAGGAGCCCCTTGTCAGCGTAACACTGGGGCAGCCACAGTGTGCGGGTAAGGGCGGCCCCTGGAGCACCCCGCTGGCTCCTTCCCCACCTACTTGGCTGCGGCTGCGGCTGCGGGGAGCTGTGCTGGCGCCTGGGACCCCATGGAGGGTAGAGCTTCCCGCTGGTCATGGTGAGGAGGGAATGAGTGAACTGCGCTCACCTCCAGGGTTTCATGAGCTCATGGTGTCTGAATCACATTTCTTCCTAATAGTGTTTATTGTACCTTCCCTGTTCCCTTCTTATAATTAATATTGACAGACTTAGCAGTTTTCTAAGACTCCCAAAGAACTAACTTTTGACTTTCTTGATCCCATTATATGCTTGTTTTCATTTGATTGACTTCTGCTCCTAATTTTATTTTCTTCTTTTCTTTGTTTCGTTTTTGACTCCTCAGTTGGATATTTACCTCATTCATGTCCAGTTTTTTTCTTTTCTAATAAAAGCATCTAAGATTATAAATGTCCAAATAATTACTGCTTTGGCTGAATATGAATATCATATGTTTAAAAATATATAGTATTTTTTATTGATGTTTAGTTTAAACAGTTTCTTATTTTTATTATGACCCAGGATTTATTTGGAATTATAGCTCCTCATTTCCAAACATCTAGTTGCCTTTAAAAATGGTTTCCATGTAATTGTGCCATCAGAAGGCAGTGTGCGTCATCCTGATATGCTGACACTCGTTGACACAGGGCCGCCTCTGGGGTGCTGTGTGGTCCTGGCTTCTCAGCCTCCTCTTGGGGGTGATCTGGGGAGGCTCCCTGGAGGCAGGGGCAGGGCCTCTTGGGCAGGGCGCTGGGCAGGCAGACCCGACTGCAGGAATGGCTGCGTGAGGTCCCAAGCCCCCCCCATAGGTTATGAGGAGTGTAGGGTGCTCCCCTCTTGGTAAAATCCTGTCACAAAGGCAGCAAAACCCAGCTGGCAGATTATTAACATGTACAGAGCTCACGTGTTAGGAAGAAATCCCCAGGTCTGCGTACAGATGGGCCTGCTCTGTGGTGAGAAGACACGTGGATGGCTCACAGCCTGTGGGATGCGTTCGGTCTCACTGCCGTCCAGAGATGCATGTGAAGTAACTGCCCACTGCTGCCAGGCTACACCCTCCTGCCCCCCAAACCCACACCCCCATGTGGCCAGCCATGTTCTTCTGGACTGTCAGGAAAAGGGCAGAGGTGGGCAGAACTGTCGGCTGCAGTGTGGTTTAGGTGAAAATGCAGAATGGCCGTCGCTCCCAAGCCTGGGACCCAGCGGAGGGAGTTCTGTCCGTGATGGATGAGATGCAGTCGTCAGGGTCCCGCCTGAATGTGGGATGCCTCCGTCCACGGGGATATGTGATGGTGGATGTGGTGAATGAAATATCAGCGCCTGCCCACAGTCTCTGGTGTGCAGACCCTCACTGTACCTGCTAACAGCATTTACCTCTGCATGCTGCAGCTGCACGTGATCTTTATTGTTTTCTTGTAATTGTCTGCATTTGAATTTTTTCCTGTAACTGTGTGTATTATTGTAATAATCAGAAACAAGCAATTGTTGTCCCCACCCCCCACCCAAAGTTCAGGGTCACGTGATTCAGGAGGCTGACCAGCCTGGCCTCCCCACAGGTGTCTGAGGACCGTGTGGGGTAACCAGGGGAGGTGGGCAGGGCCTGGACTGCTCGTGCCCAGATGCCAGCGCAGCGAGGCCATCGGGCAGCAACACAGGCTGCCGGCCAGGCCTGCAGGGGCGGCTCTGGGAGCCTGAGCAGGTGGTAACCACTGCCCCTGGGTATGTGGACAGCTGTGTCTCCTCTTTGCACACTGTTGTCTGGGCAACAGAAGCTGGGACTGGGGTTTATGGGCCCAGGGAGCTTCTGCCCACAGGGGTGCCTGGCACAGCGTCTGGGGAGGAGACCCTTCCTGCAGGCTCCCCACCAAGGCCTTCAGGAAGAGGGAAAACGACTGATCTGCCTGCCCTCTTGGGAGATGGGTCCTGTCCCAGAGCTCACAGCCAGACCCTCAGACCCGCGGATGCCAGTCCCATCCCAGGCCCCTCTCTCATGTGCTGTGACTGCCTGGGGTTGCATCTGCCCCCCCAGACCCCACGGAGAGTTCTCTTATTCTGACTTGGAAAACCACTTTACAAGCAGTTCTCTGTGGCTTGGAAAGAAACCTCCATCCCCAAGTAAGCCAGCCTGCCGCTCTGTCCACCCTTCTCCATCCCTCCCCCAGCCTGGAGTGGAAGAAAGAGTGTGCTTTGGGTGGTATGCTTGGAGGCAGGAGGATGGACAAGATGGCCTTTTGAGACCTCTACCTCCCCCAGGGGGTGACCAGGTGGGAGAACTCAGGCAGTCAGGGAGGACTTCCTGGAGGAGGTGGGCTTGAGTGGAGCGTCTCAGCGTGGATGTTTGGAGGGCCCAGGGTATGTGCTTTCCTGCATGGGGGCTGCTCTGCGGGCAGGCTGGGTGTAACTGTGACTGTCGCTTGCTGTCTGTAGAGTGTGCTAAATGTTGGACTGAGTATGGAATCCACCACTTCCCCTGCCCGTTGCCAGAGAGCAGCCCTCAGGACCCCAGTGTGGGCCAGGACGGGGAAGGTGACCTGGGCCCAGCGAGCATGCCCAGAGGCCTGAGGGCCAGGAGGCGAGGTACTTCCGCTTGGGTGCTGGGTCTGGGGGGTCCCGGGGAAGGCCGCACCCAGGTGTGGAGCACTGAGGAGGGGGGTCAGCAGGCGGGAGCAGAGTGCAGAGGCCAGAAGGCAGGGGCGGGGAGCGCCTGGGCAGTGTGGCACTGAGGGGCTGGAGCAGGGGCTCAGCTGGTCTGCAGCCTCCCCGCTTTGACCTTTCCTTCCTCCTGGGATGGATGATGGGGTGGGGTGGGGAGCTGCGCCAGGGCAGGTGGTGCCCGGGGCTGTGGGGGCCCGTGGGCTCCAGGGACAAAGCCTGCCCGAGGGCCTGGGTGAAGGCAGTGTGTCCCGGGGCGGGACCAGCTCACAGCCTGGCTTCTCCTTGCAGGGAGGGCTGGGCGGGGGCAGACTGTGGTGTACGCCCCTGGGCCCTCTGCAGAGGTGGGCCTCTGGGATGTAGGGACCTGCAGGGATGTAGCAATGCTGCTGCTCTCTGAGTGGCCCTGCGAGGCTCAGAGGTCCCTCTGCCCTCAGGAACTCAGTGTTGGGGCTCTGTCCCTGCCTGGGAACCTGAAGCAGATGGGGAGCCACCGTCTCTGCCCTTATGGATAGTCCCCTGTCCCCAGGAGACACAGGCTGGCTGGTGACGAAGCTCCCAGATCAACATGGGCCTGGAGACCTTGGCACTACTGGCTGGCCCTGCCCAGGGACCCTATTTGCTGAGTGGAAGGCTGTGGGGCCCAGAGGGCCACCGTCCACCACCCTCCTGCCTCCCGGCCCGCCCCCAGCTCGCTGCTGAGGGGGTCACCAAGGCTGGGGCTCTCAGCTGGGCAGGAGGGCTGGTGTGAGCCAGGGCAGCAGGGCCCGTCAGTGGTGAAGGCTGTCCCCAGGCAGGGGATGTCCTAGGAGTGGCCTGGCCCCAGCCCGAGTGCCTTCCTCCTGAGGACGGGAGATGGCCACCTGTCTCACTCCTTTGCCCCTAACAAGGGCTGCGGGCAGGAGGTGGGGCCAGAAGTGACTCTTTTTGGAGATGGCGGTGTGGCCTGGAGGTGCGGTGCCTTGCCGGATGGCGCCCCCCCAGGTAGCACAGTGGAGCCAGGACTCCGACCCGGTCTCTGGACGCCTGGCAGGGAGGGGGCGGTGACCCGGAGCAGCACCCCGAAGTGGAAGCCAGAGAAGAGGCATCCCAGGAGCAGCCGCTGCAGCTGCCGCCCCCACTGGCCCTGGGCCTTTAACACCTGCCTTCTGGTGCCTTTCCAGGGCTAGAGGCTGCCCCTGAAAGAGGTGGGACTCCGGAGCCCACCTTGCCAACCGCAACCAGCCCAAGAAGGGATTTGGCTGCTGGGGTCTGTGGCCGGGTGGTGGGGCGCAGTGCCACCCAGGCCAAGAAGAGGAAGCCCAACTTCTGCCCACAGGAGACAGAGCTGCTGGTGAGCAAGGTCAGCAAGCACCACCAGCTTCTGTTTGGCCCGGGGCTGCTGAAGGCAGAGCCCACCCGCAGGTACCGTGTGTGGAGCTGCATCTTGCAGGCCGTGAACTCTCTGGGCTACTGCCATTGTGACCTTGTGGACCTGAAGCACAAGTGGCGGGACCTGCGTGCCGTTGTGCGGTGCAAGCTGGGCGACCTCCACAGGCTGGCCCATGGTCCGGGCTCTGGCAAGCCCCAGGCCCTGGCCCTCATACCCATGGAGCAGGTGGTGGCCAAGACCTTCTCCTGCCAGGCCTTGTCCTCCAAGGGCCTCGGCCAGGAGCCCCTCAGAGGTGAATGTCTTGCCCCAGGTCGCCCTGGTGGCAAGAGGGCAGGGACTCCTGGGCCTGTGGGGTGCCCCCTGTAGGAGGCCGCTGCTCCCTCCCCAGGGCCTGGCACTGTGATGGCTAATCTGCTGTGCCAGCATAAACACTCGCCCTGTGCTGTGCCCTGGGCCTCCCGCATCGCCTCAGCCCCTTGGGGTGGGGACCTGGCACACCGCAGAGGGGACAGGCAGCTTTCCTTCGGGGGCATTTGCTTCCACTTTTGGACCATGAGCTATAGTAAGAAACACATTTTCCGGGGCTCCCCGGGGCACGCACACAACCGAAACAGCTCTTCCCCTGCATTGTCTGTGTGAGCTGACTCCCCTGTCCTGTCCATCACAGGAAGGGCTCCTGCTGACTTTCTGAGCTGGTTCTATGATCCAGTGGCATAGCCATGGCAGGGGATGCCCGGCTGTATTGCTGGAGTCTCAACACTGGCTGGGCTTCTCTGAGTGGCAGCATTGGTGGATGGAAGCCTTGGGGGGCAGCCCGTGGTATGGCACCTCCCTGGCTGGGCTGTTTTCTGGGGAGTGTCGTTCTGAGGGGCTTGAGTTCCCCAAGAAGGCCCCAGTCAGACAGCAGCTCAGAGAGATCAACGGAGGTCAGGGCGAGCAGGACATCTGGGGGCTTGGAGTGCAGTGGACCCCAGACAGGTGTGTGGTGCAGACACGTGTGCCCCCATGGTAGCAGGACCATGGGCTGCCCATGTGGGGCCATTACAGCAGCAGCTGCAGGAGTGGGGTGCCGTCCCCATGCTGGATCCCCACTGCATGTGTGTCAGGCCTCTGTTCCATCATGGAAGCTGCCAGAAGGCCACACCTCATGGGACTGGCCTGCGCAGGGGCTGTGGCAGGTGCCCACTCCTTCCCTCAAGATACCGGCCAGCATTGGTCTTGTGCTGAGCGGTGTGTGCAAAGTGCTGGCAGTGCTGGGCATGTGTTCCTGACGGAGGGCAGGCCTGGCAGGGTGTCTGGGGTGCATGATGTGGCCTCCCTTCCCAGTGTCCTAGAGAAGGGGCAGGAGTGCAGCCCCAGACCAGACAGGCCACCCTTGGGCAGGAGGTTGTTCAGGGCTGGCTGTTCCCCTTGTGTCCCTGCTGGGACAGCCTCTCTTCTGGGATGTTGGGACTGGGCTCCTCTCCCACAGCCCTTGTGCAGGAGGTAGAAGCCCACATTGAGCCCAGGGCCCCCCCTTTTTGTATGTGAGATGAGGACAGGTACCCAGTGGGGCAGGCAGTGTGGTGAGGAGGTGGGAGTGATGCTGAGGGCTGCTGCCTGGGCCCCGGGCCCCTGGACCTCTGCTTCCTTGTGGAGCAGCCCTTGAGCCTCCTCACAGGCTGGGGGCTGAGTGTGTGGGTGGCCGTGTCGGGCCTATGGGAGGGCTGGGTGCCAGCAGATGTGGCACCACCAGGGGGCGCCGTTTGCCCAGGGGGCTGGCGCACTTCTCTCTGCCTTCTGTCCAGCCTCATGTCCCAGGCCCCTGGGCCCCTGGGCCTCTGTCCTGAACTAGGGCCCAGGGACACACCAGTAGGCTCAGGCCCCCAGGCCAAGGAGCTGGTGCCCCGCTGCTCTGCCCAGCCCGCAGCTTATCCACTGCCGGCTCTTCCTGAGTCCCACCCATGCCCTCCATGACTGGCCTGTTCTGTTCACCAATGGGAACGCCTCTGCTCCTGCCTTGTCAGGGGACCGGTGTCTCGACTGTTCGCGTAGACACCCTGGACAGGCGTGGGGTACAGGGGGTCACTGCCCTCAGTATTCTGTGTCAGTTGAGCCCTCCTCCGTGCAGGGCCCTGTGCCTGGGAGCAGCAGAGTGCTGGGGATGCCAACCGCAGGGCAGGCGTGGGTTACTGCCGAATCTGAGTGCTCAGAGTTAGACAGGAAAGGGAGCAGGGCGGCGTGTGACCCTCCCAGGGGGCATTAGCCTGGGGCACCTGGGCACTTCTAATTCCTTCCCTAGTTTTTGAAATAGGGCCACAGAATAAAGAACGTGAAAAAACAGAAGCCATACCATGTTTGACCAGCAGCCAGAACAGGCTCTGTGTCTTTTCTTTGCTGCCAGCCCTACACTGTGGTGATGTCGATGACAGGCCGTGGTCTGGGCACCACTGCTCATGTCTTAGTGGCATCTGGTGTCCGGAAGGTGCATGCCCTGCCTGGGCCGGGGTTATGGAGTTCTGGGGTCTCTAAGGCTGAGGGCCTTCTGCTCTGAAGTGGGGTGTGGGGGCCACAGGGCCTCTGTGGTCATGGGACTCTGCAGTGCCATGTCTTCAGTGCCCTGCAGGCCTCTGCTTCCCGTATTGGCTCCTGTGATCTTCCCAAATGGACAGGAAGGTCTGCTGGCCTCCCTCCTTGAGTCAGGAGCACTGCCCCTGCAGCCTGGCCTGGGGCCTCCCACCCCGCCACACACAGCTGTCTGCCTCCCAGGCTGTGCTGCACCCTGGCCTGCCAGCTGACCCCGGCCTGTCATGCGTGCCTGCCCTGCCAGCCTCCTGCCCTGCCCTCTGGCTGGGAACTTTGCAGCAGTCCCCCCCAGGGGGCCTGGTTCCCTGGGCCCTGCCCGCCAGCCCCGCTCCTCCCAGGCTGTGTGGGGTCAGCCTTCACAGCTTTAGAGGGCCCACCCTCTTCCACGGGGCCTGCAAAGGTTAGCCCTCCCTTGCATGGTGACCTGTCATGGACTCCCATTTCTGTGGCTTCTGGAGCATGTGGGGGGTTGGTAGTGTGGCCCAGGTGTGGCCTCTGGCAGCCTTCTTGTCTGCTGCTGCTCACTGGGGACACCCTGCGTCCCGGCCGGCCTTGGATCTGGTCACAGAGCTATTCTCCCCAGAGCACTTTGCAGACCTGCTGTTCAGGGTGGGAGAAATGCTTGCTCAGGAGAAGTAGGGAGTTCGGCTTGGGCGCCTGCACCTCGTCTGTGGTAGACGTTGCCAGTTGCAGCGCGATCAGCTCCTAAATCACGAAGCAGCCTTGGTGGCCACCCTGCTATGGGCACTTTCCCGGCCATGGCCCCGTCCCCCTCCCAGTTTTCCCGGCTGCAGGCTGCTGGCCGTGCCCTCCTTCCCCTGGCCAGCCTGCGCCTGTCCCTGTGCAGTGCGCCCTCCCCCTGAGATGCGGCCGGACAGTCTCTCCTTGCTCCCAGCCCTGTCCTGGTCCTTCCCTCCTCCCCTGCACACAGTGTGGGCCAAGGTCTTGGCCCTGCCTTTGGGCCAAGCTCCGCTCCACCTCCAGCATCTCCTCTTGTCCTGTCTGCTGGGTGCCCTGAGCTTCCTGCTGCTCGAGAAGGATGCCAGTCCCCGGTGCCATAGTGCCACTCTGCTTCTGAATGAATGAATGAGTCCTGGATGTTCGCTCTGGTCAGTGTAGGCTTGGGTGTGGTGAGCCTTTCACAGCCACATGCCCGGGTTTCTCCTTTGAGGCCCACCAGTTGTGGCTCTCAGAACTTGGAGTGTATGACGTTTAGAACGGGGGTGTCTCCTGGGGGGTTAGCTCCATACCTCTGTCTGTACTCAGCCAGACTGACTAGGGGTCCACCTGGGGGGAAGGGCCAGGCCCCAGTGGATTCCATGTATTCCAGCAGCCACTCCCTGGGCCCAAGGTGGGAAGTCCAGGGTTTTGCTGTGGGGCTGGCCTGTGAAGTGAGGTCACAGGGTCCCCCAGGGCTCTGTCCTGCCCTTCACAGCTGGACTTTAGAGTGCACTCAGACCTGCCTCTCGCGGGAATCACTATGTGGGGCTTGCACACTGCTGTGTCAGTCTGCACCCGGGAGCTCTGGGCCCCGAGGGTGTGGGAGCTGGCCAGGTGGACCCCCACAGCCTGAGAGTAGCAGCCAGGTGGCAGCCCCAGGTCCTTCGACTTGGAGGACTGAGCAGACCCCCTTCCCTGGCTTGTCTGGCATCTGGGTAATGTGTTGTCACGTGGCCTCCACCTGCGTGGGACCCAGCCCTTAGCCCAGCCCCAGGTGGCAGGTGGGGGGTGGCGACCGGTTCCCAGAGCCCTCGGGGCCTGGACGGTGCCATGCAGGGTGCTCCCTGAGGCAGGCGTGGAGCACAGCCTTGCCACGTGCCAGGGGCCAATCCGCATTAGGAGGCTTAATTTCTTTCCCTGCAGCGGGCAGATAAGGCAGGCTGCTGTAAGGCCGAGATGTGGAGCAGTCACTTTTTGGGTCTTCCCATTATCTCTGCTCACAATAGAAGCAGAGGGTGGGGGTGGGTCGCCAGGGAGAAGCCCCAGAGGCTCTGCCGGGTGTTTGATGTTTGACTTTATTTTACCGAGTGCCTGTGAAGTGGTTCAGGTGGTGTGAAGAACCTCTGAGGGGGCCTTTGCTCCCCTTAGGAGAGTGGGAGGTGGAGAATGGGGCTCCCCTCCCTGCACTCCTTCAGGGCTGTTTCTGGAATAGCCTGGTACAGAGAGGGAGGGTGGGCGGCCCTGCCCAGAAGGCCTGCCAGGAGGGGGTGCGGCTTTAGTGCAGTGAATCTGTGTGCAGTACACTGTGCCCACGGAAGGGTGCCGGTCAGTGAGATGCACCTGGGACGCGCGCCACGTCGCAGAACCGCCCTGCCATCAAGTGTGGTGTAGGGCATCCACAGCTGCTCCCTGTGCCCCTTCACCTGCCCAGGACCACCGCTAATGTGCCTTGTGCCACTCTGGGTTGGGTCTCTCTTTCTGGACTCTCCCAAACGTGGGTGCCTGCATCAGCTCTCTTCCTGGGGAGACTTCCTTCACCATCCCCATGCACCTGAGGACTGGCTGTGTTTGCTGGTGTCTGAGGCGTGCCCCGTTTTGCTGCTCAGGAGTGGGTGCGCAGCAGCTCGTGCCTCTCTCTGTGGCAGGCGGTTTCATGGCTGCCAGCTTTTGGCTGAGTAAGGGCGATGCAAACATTTGTGTAATATCTTTGTATGGACGAACATTGTCACTTTTTGGGTGTGTTAGGAAGGAAGGAACTCGGCTCGGTATGGCAGGGAAGTCAGATAT